ATCCGACCACTATGTTGAGCTATCCGAAGCAAAGATCGCGTCGGTGAGGAGAGAACCGCGGCTATGCGGCGATCAAAATGAGTAAACAACAATCGACTAAAGACTACAAAGATCAAAACGAAACCGTAAGAACACTGATTACGATAACGGCTCACCGAAAAGCTCGCAGCCACGATGACACGCCCATGAGCGGTGAAGTTCTTGACCTCGAGGAAGAAAAACGTGGACAATGAGTTCTCGGCAATTTCGAGCGATCAAGGCTAGGTGGCTGGATTCGCAAGGAAAAGACGGAACTAGGGCGGCCTTTACCGAGATGGCAACAGCGCTAGGGGAGACGATGCGAGCTTGTTGGAGCGATGACAACGACGGTGGTGAAAACAAAGGAAGAAAAAAGCGATGCGATGACGACGTCTTGGTACTTATAGCGCGGCGCAGAAGCTCAAGGAAGCCACGACGGAGCTATTCCGTGCAAGTAACATCAAAGACGGCCACGACACGCGCTGAGAACGCCAAGAAGGAACGACGGCAATGTAGCTTAAGCGGTGAACACTGCTTCACTAAAATTACAAAATTGCCATACGCCAAAAATTCACAATTTACTCTCAAATTTTTCATAACAACTCAAAATCTCTCAAAAACAAAAGTTGTTCAAAATTGAAAGTTCTACAACTTTGCTTCTATAACCATCTCCTAATTACATCTAGATTTTGAAATGGATTTTCGAGGTAGGATTTAAATCTTTGAAAAGCGGGGTTTTCTCGAAAAATCAAAATCCAAACAAACTTTGAATTTAAGTCAAACAATACAATTCAACACATACCACATGAATATAAACTTGTTTTAGTGTATGCATCTCAAAGTTTTCACCAAATGCCAAATGCTTTGTAATGCATATGATGACATGTCAGGTTTTAGTATTTTAAACACCCGAGGTGTTACACAAGGCTAACAACAACAACTAATTAGACTAAATCCAATGTATAACTAGACTCAATAACTGTACTAACTAAACTACCTAACTTTACTACCTATACTAACTTACTATATTACATATACTAATTAAAATAACTAACTTTACTAACTATACTTTAATAATTTTATTAACTTTATTAGGGGAGTACCTCAGTGCGCCAGCTAGAGACCGGTCCCGGGGCGTGCGTGGCAGTCTCCATGGCAACCGCCGTCGTGGCGTGGCGGAGGGTGGCGCCGGCGTCTTGAACTCGGCTGGCCAGACCGTGTCAGCCGCCGGCGTCTTTGTGCTCGACAACCGCGACCAAGGTAATGGGCGGTGGGTCGGGTCAAGCTGGCGAAGCGGTTGGGTCGCCACCGGCGTTTTCTGGCATGGCGGCGGCGGCGTGCTAGCGCGGCCGATGGCGGGCAGCCGCGCCAGAGGCCTTCTTCTACCGCTTAGGCAATGGGGCGGTACCGCCACATCGGCGACGCGGGCCATGGCGGGGGTCTTATTCGCTCTGCTGCGCCATACGATCGGTGGCGCTGCGATGCCAAGATCCAAGATCGGGTGCGCAGCCCCGCCGTCCGGTTAGCGATAGCGATTCGGGTCGCCGCCACGTCAGCCCTCTGCCGCGCCACCATGTATGTCGCGGCACAGGCATTTGGCTGCGCCAGGGCAATAGGCGTGGCCAAAAGTGTTAGTTAAAAAAAACCGTACGTGTTAGATTTAAAATTAGTTTCCAAAAAGTGTTAAAATTAAAAAAAAAATCTTCGCGCGCTGCTCCCGGCGGCCTCGCACGCGCCGCGCTCGGAGATACGACATCCCGCGCCCGAACGGCGGCGACCCCGTGCCCGCACTGCGCGGTGGGGGCAAATGGGCCCACGGCAGCTTGCAGGAGCCGGGTGAAGCTACTCTTTTCCGGCTCCCACCCTCTCTGTCCTCTCCTCTCGGTGCGTTTTTCGGGGCTCCGACCGTGAAGAGGAGCCGTTTGCTCCCGTGTGGTCGCCGGAGCTGAAAAATGGCTCCAGGAGCCATACCAAACGGCCCCCAAGATTCCCGTGCTGGTGGTGGCGCGTTGACGCGCAAGCAGCCGTGTGATGTTGCAATCCGGAACACGGCGTCGCCGTAGTAGCCCATTGGATTTGGGAGGGCACGGGGCACGTAGCCCGGTGCAGCTTTTCTTTCTCTGCGACTTCGACGTGAGTGCTCGCCGTCGCCGTCGACGGCGACTTGTTTCCTTCTTAAGTACCTCACTCGGCCTAGACCAAGCTAGGGCCAGGCCGCCTCGGGTGCAAACTGGACGGCTGGGCTGACGTGTTGGGTTTGGGTCCAGGCATATGGGCTGCCCGCCATTTCTCGCTCAGGAAGTCAGTCGGGTAGTGAAGCGAGCGGCCCAGCGTGTCAGCGTGCAACGATGTCATCAGCAGCAGATGCTTTGGCTTTTGGGCGAGTCTGAAGCAGGAAGGTGTGCAGGCGTGTGGATTGTAGTTTTCTGGGTTTGGACCGTGGCGAGTGGACTTGGCCCATTAGGCGGTATTGGCTTCGGTCCCAAGGAAGGATGGCCAGCTCTGTAACGAACCGAGGCAGCTGATAACTGAAACACTGGATCCAGAAACTAAACTCTGAATCTGCCTTTGATCCTCCTCAGATTCTGACACTCTGTCGTCTTCCTCATCCATTGATCCAGTTCTAGCCGAGATAGTTCATAACAAACAAGGAGGTTTTGCTTTTGACCACGTACAGTACAGAGGCTTACTTACCTACATTATATATGTAATATTATTTTTTTCATATGCTGAGTTTCTAAGCTCGATTTGAAGCCCGTTGACCGTGGCGGCTTAGTTAGACGCCACATGCATGTTCTCGTGCCCTGCATGTGAATGTGATGGAACGGACGATGTGATCATGTGAATCGATCACCTCCTCTATGGCTCAACCTATCAGGCTTGATGAGGCCACAGCGAACAGCGTGCAAGAACACATGCGAGAGAGAGAGAGGGAGGGAAAGAGGACCAACTCGTGCTGTCAAATTATCAAAAAACAAAATAAAAATCAAGGTGACGCCAACTCGAATCACGATGCCAGCCGCCAGCGCAGTGGCGTGCAGCAGCATGTACGGCACGTGCAGCAAGAGCGGAGGATCGGATCCGCAGCCTGCAGCAGTGGACCAGCACCAGGCTCGATCGCGCGGTGGCGACCCTCCTCTCCTGTCTCCTCTCCATGCGCTGACGTGGCGTGGCGTGACGTGCATGCCGCACACGTGTGGCCGTACAGGTAACCTGCTTAAGCCACGCGTCCCGCGGTCCTGCGGCCGCCGGCCCCTGCTGCATGCATGTACGCCATCGTGATGTGATCCAGGCACTGCTCGGGACCGACCTACTGGCAGTCTGGCACAGGCCAGGCCACGCCCCCCCGAGTCCCGACCGGCATCCGAGAGCAGCTGAAGCCGGCCAAAGCCACGTGCCACACGCCACGCCTCGGCTGCTCGTATGACTTCATTTTATTATGCACATGCATAGCTCTCTGCATCTCTCCATGGTTTTCTTTGGGCGAGGTGATGCTTCTCCTCCTCCCTCCTCTCTTCCAAGCGGTTCGGCTGATGTTTCTCTTCGAGATGTGCACCACTCAGCACCTCTGTTGCCACTTCCATCGGCATGTCTGCTAGCCGATGCCCGGTGCCCATCACATCTGGTAAGTGGTAACCCAGGAGATTACCGACATACATACAAATATGGGTAACAATAATAGTACAACTGAACCAGCGAAGTTCATTCTTGCAAAAATGCTTAAATTCACCGGAAGCGCATTGCTTATGTACACCACAGACATTCAGGCCACTAAATCCACAAGCAGTAGTAGCTGTACAAGAGGTTTTATTACTTACTAGTACTGGTAGTGGTAGACATATATATTTAGGCAAATCCATCACTATCATATATGCATCCAGAGGAAGCCTTCTTCGGCTGCTCTAGCCAAACACACACGACTTTTTTTCCCCGGATGGGCGATCGAGGACGCATCGACGCAGGCAACGCAATCACAACCTGCCGCTTCGCATTAGGTCGTCGTCGATTGCTTTCGTCCTCTTCTTCTTCTCTACGAACTCCTAATCTGCACGAAGTACACAGAAGCAGCGGTGGACAGGGAGCTGCTGAACTGAAAACTCTGAACATGACGCGGAGGGTGGAAACGAAACGAGAGAAAGGCCACTGCTTTGGCTGTCGCCGTCGTCGGCCTGACTGCGTGACTAGCCCCAGCCACTGCTACGAGTACCTGCAATGCAAGGATGATCCAAACGGGGTTGTTAGATTCAGCAGAACTTGCGAGCGCGCCTTGATTGATTCGAGAAAATCCAAGCACGGGACGGAACGGAACCAACCCAACCACTCGCGTCGAGACGAAACCGAATCGGCACGGAAAGATCAAGCGAGGTGGTGGTGGCTACTGGTTAGTCAGGCACTGACAGTCCGTGGTAGTGGTGAGTGCCGGTTATTACAGGCTTCATTAGTTGAGATCTCTTATTAGTTGGGGGATTGGATATCGTTGTCAACTCAAATCTTCGACTACGACTCCATCGTCTCTGTATGACCTCATTAAGCTCCAGACTCTGACTTTATTGCTACTACTACTACCTGTTCTGTTGTTGGATAAGAGCAGCTGATCAGGGATGGAAGGCAACATATAGGAAGAATAGATCCATAAAGACTACTGGAAACTGGAAATGTGGAATTCATTTCGGGGAAAAGAAAACTGTTGGGTCAAATGGAGACGAACTGAACTGAATCCACTTTAATTTGCGCAGCGAAAACCAGTACAGCTTCACTTCAATTCACTCCCCGCTTCGATGGTTGCAAAATCGGCGTTGCATATTTGCAGGAACGCAGAAAGGTTTCATGAGCGTGATCGAGAACTAATAGCAAGTGCTAAATTTTGAGGAAACTCTGAAACTCGCACTTCAGAGTTCAGAGTTCAGAGTTCAGAGTTCAGACAGGGTAGCTATGTATTCATAATACCTCGATGGCGCTGGTGCAGGGCAGCCGTCCGTCCGTCAGTCCTTGAAGAGGACGGTGTCGGCGATGGCGAGGAGCGGGGCGAGGCAGTCGGGCGCGAACTTGCGCGCGAACATGTGAGGGTGGGTGTGGTTGGACGCGCGGAGTTCAGCGACGAGCCCTGGCGTGACCTCGGCCGCGGTGTACGTGTGCGGGTGGCCCTCGACGCTCCCCGTCCAGTTGACGCGGGTGAGCGTGTACCGCGCCACGCCTCCGGGGTCCGCCATGTCCAGCAGCGTCGGGAAGTAGTGCTCCTCCGGGTAGCACGAGTCCTGCGCCATCTCGGGAAGGCAGGGCACCCGGAACTTGCGCCACAGCCGGCGCTCCCAGACCACCAGCACGGCGTGGCGCCGGGCCAGCGTGAAGAACTGGGAACCGATCCGGAACCGCTCGTAGGGGACCTCCGGGAGCATCGCGTCCTCGCCGCCCCGCGCCGCGTAGCGTGACGGCATCTGCGGCTCCCCCGTCAGCACCTCGATGTAGCTGCGTGGCCGTTGGCGGCGGGGCGCGGCGGAGGCAGCGGAGGGGGAGGGGGGCGGAGGGAAGAGCGCGGCGTAGAGGCGCGGGAAGGAGTGGAGCGGGACGCAGTGCTGCGACAGCAGCGCGAAGTAGGCGTTGGCCGGGTCGTCCAGCAGCGCGGCCGCCAGCAGGCGGCGCGCGGCCGCGATGAGGCTCGCGTCCGCGCGGCGCGTCGGCTTGGCGGCCACGAACCGGCCCCGGAAGGAGGGGGTGGGCGGCAGAAGCAGGCGCGCGGCCGGGTCGGCGTGGACGTACACGCTGAGCCGGGACTCGTGGCCGGAGAAGAAACGCTCCCATAGCGGGGCGAAGGTGAGGTCGGAGTTGGTGAGGAACAGGAACGCCACCTTGGGCGGGCCGGCGGCCTTGGCGCCCGCCGCCGCCGCCGCCGACTCCAGCGCCGCGCGGCGGAACAGGCGGAGGTCGTCGGCCTCCTCGCCCCCCGCGCGGGAGCCGACGCCCCGGAGGCCTCCGCCGCCGCCACCGCCACCGCCGACGCCGCTCCCCGTGGCCGGCGGCGCCTGCTCGTCCGCGGCCGGCTGCTGCGGCGGCGGCGGGGACAGGCGTGGCGCGAGGACCAGCAGCGCCGTGAGCGACGCGAAGAGGAGCAGGGACAGCACCATCGGGGACGACAAGGCCATGGCGCCGGCGCGGGTGTATCAGTGTCAGGGGACGGGGCAGCGAGAAGCGCGGGTCTCGGGTCGGGACGTCTGGAACCGGTGGCGCGCCGGCGTCCGTCAGAAGAACCGCATCGTGGCGATCGGAGTCCGGCGGCGCGCGGTCACGATCGGGGGAGGGATAGAGGGAGAGGCGCAGAGGTGCACACGATGGCCAGGCCAGGAAGGCGACGAGGGGAGAGGACGGGGGGAGGCAGTGCCCCGGGCAGGCAGGCTGACGGTCGCGTCGGGCCTCTCCCCTCGCTTTCTTCTGGTCTCGTCACCCCTGCCACTGACGCCGGGCGGCTACGGAGCAACGCGCGGTGGGATCTCGGCAAGATAATGACATGTGGGGACAGGGCGCCGTGGGGTCGGGCTCGCAGTGGGGTTTCGCGGGGCGGGAAAGGGTGAGTCGCGTGGCGAGGCGGGGTTTCGACGGCTGAGGGTGGATCGTTGTGGCTATGCACGAAGGAGAGCCGTCGGATGGGTTGTGTACGTGGCGACGGATGGGGACGCGCGCAGACACGTGGGATTGCGATACGCCCTGTCTCGTAGTAGCACTGGGCTTGTTGTTTACCTGGAGCTCGAGCGGCTGGGGGCGAGTGGAAGCTGGGACCGACTGTCAGTCACCGCCGGAGACGTTTGGGCCCATGGCCACTTTTGTACTACGAAAAGCTTTCTGATTCCTCTGAAACTCTAGCGAAATTCGGAAGCACCAAGTGAAATTGGTCTGGCACTCTGGCTTACCATGTTCGAACGGAAAAGATGGCAACCGTCTCAGTCGGTGTCTCCAAACTACGGCGCCGTGCTTTCTTCAAAAATTAGGCCTCCTTTGGAGCATTTTCAAAACAAAAACTCAGAAATCAGCAATGGATATGGTACAGTCCTTTGGTTTGCAGGATTCATACGTATGAAAGGTACCCGAAGAAATTGTCCTTCGCTGCCGACTTTGAACGTATTACATTGGAATTGAAACATCCACGGATCCACTCCGGCCTCATTTTTTCTTTCTCTTGCTTGCGTAGGATCGGGGCACAACACATGATTAGTACACACTGTAGACTTTGGAACGAGTGCGTTAAAGCAATTGGCTCCGAAAAGGAATAAAGTCTGAGCTCTGTGAGACCATTAATTAAATGAATGAATGAACGGGGATTATGCACTTCCTCGTTAAATAACTTGTCACGTAATCAAAACGCTAACATAAAGAAAGAGAGCAAAAATCATAAAAATAGTTTCCTATGAAGAAATCAGGTCTACTCTTGACCCAATGCACCAAGAAACCATGAAATCGTCATTGGAGAGAAACCACAAATTTCTAGGGAGCTCGTGTCGCACTCCCATTTGAGGAAGAAGATAGAGTTAGGAGAGAGAAAGAGAAAATAATTATTACTCATAGAAACCATGGGTTGAAAAGCAGTACTTTTTGGTGCGGTATCCTATGTTATAGAAACTACTAATTTCTTTGGTTGGGACTGCCCTAATGTTCCTATTTCTATGACTTTCATGCCCGTGTTTAGTTTAAAAAAAAAGTTCCAAAAAAGTGCTATAGTAGTCATCACATCGAATCTTACGATACGTGCATGAAGCATTAAATGTAGACGAAAAAAAACTAATTGCACAGTTTGGTTGGAAATCGCGAGACAAATGTTTTGAGCCTAATTAGTCCATAATTGAACACTAATTGCTAAATAAAAACGAAAGTGCTACAGTAGTGAAATTCCAACTTCCCCCAACTAAACACGGGCTGAGTATCCTAACATCTATCTTCTACAGTTTTCTGAAGTTTCTAATCCTCTGTTTTACAATTGTATTCCTATGAAATTTTTATGTTTTTCTTGTTCCTATACTTTTGCAGTCCTGTATTCAGGGGAGTACCTTAGTGTTAGACCGGTAGTCTATAGTAGGTTGGAGTATAAGCAGAGTGTGCACATTCCTGCAGAATTCCACGTAGCCAATTTCCGATGCACCACGCAGGCGCGTAGACCGGATTAGTGGACTGGCCGAGCCCGCCACTGAATTGGATAGTGGTGCTGGAATCGAATCGAATTCCAGTTTGAATCGGATATTGGGAATGCGAGTACAGCAGTATCTTGTGATTGATGAGAAATAAATGCATTGTTATTATCTTTTCTGTTTTGCACGTTGTAAAAAAAAATGCTACCACTTGCCGACTTCAAAATTCATTCATTCATTTATTTATTTATTACTATTATCACCATCTTTTAATATATGCACTGGTTTTAGATGCCGGAATAGTTTCAACGAGCAAAACTCGTAACGCTTTTATAAAGAGTAAAGCTACATGTCACTCGGGTAACCAACACTAGGTTTTGGGACGACACATGGGTAGGAGATAAGCCTTTGAAAGTTAAATATCCATCTTTATATAATATAGTGCGCGAACCTCATGCAACAGTCTCAAAAGTGATGACTACTAGCCCACTAAACATCTCTTTTAGAAGGGCTCTGGTGGATAATAAACTTACAGAATGGCTTAGTTTAGTAGCACGGATCTCAAATGTCGCATTGGTGGAAGGTTCGGATTATTTCAGATGGAGTTTAACCAAATCAGGTTTGTTCTCTGTCCGTTCAATGTATCTCTATCTTGTAGATACACAAACACCTTTTCGTCATAGGAAGATCTGGAAGATAAAAATTCCTCTAAAAATTAAAATCTTTTTTTGGTTCTTGCAAAGGGGTGTCGTCTTAACCAAAGACAACCTCGCTAAGAAAAATTGGAAGGGGAGTCAAAAGTGCATCTGCTGTAATGGGAATGAAACTATCCAACATTTGTTCCTAGACTGTCCCCTTACCAAAATGATTTGGAGGATTATCTTTTTTGCTACTAGTTTGACCCAACCTAGATCAATCAGCCACATGTTTGGTAGTTGGCTGACCAATCAAAATAAAAGGATTAGAAATTTGATTTGGGTGGGGGTGGCTGCCATGTTTTGGGCTATCTGGAGATGCCGTAATGACGTTGTTTTTAATCAAATGAAATCTAACTCTATTATGCAGGTAATTTTCAGAGGAGCGTACTGGTTACGCTCTTGGGCCCAGCTGCAGCGTGATGAGACAGCCAAGGACGCGCTCTCAACGATGAGCAAGAAATTGGAAATTATTGCTTTAAAGATATCCAATAAAGGATGGAAACATTTATATTGTTTGAACTAGCGCCCTGATCGATCTATAAGACTATGGCTTTCTCATTTTTTTTTCATCCAAAACTTTGTAATAATGGGCTGTGTACATCCTTGGATGTAGAGGCCGGATATTTGTTTTATCCATTATCTAAAAAAATGTCACTCGGGTGATTTCTGGGCTGTTGTCACTCGAATTTTTTGATGTTCACACAATACACATTTGATGTTCACATAGTATGTATGTGATGTTCTATAAAATCTGACATATTTACGTATAGTATACATGTGATGTTCTATGATATTTTTTATGATATTCACATGGTATACAAGTGATGTTCCGTAAAAATCGCGTTTGAGAGGCGTGTAAAACAACCAAAAATGCCAAGCACAAAAAATAGTACAATATAATGTTTATATAATATACATGTGATGTTCTCTGATGTTTTTTTGTGATGTTCACGTAGTATACAAATGATGTTCTGTAAAAATCGTGTGAGATAGGCATATAAATCACTCGGGTATGATATAGACAATGTTTTTGGCATTTAGGGGATAATTCAATTGTCAAAATTATCATTATTCTTATACCTTATATTGTACTTAGAGGATATCAAAACTTCATTGCTAGCTTTACAATATACACTTTCTCGGCTTGTTCGTTGGTTGGTTTCTGGGCTGATATGTCCGGCTGGTGCTGGTTTGTTGTGAGAGGAAAATACTGTTGGCTGGCTGATAAGTCTGGCTGAAACCAACAAGCGAACATGTTATCTGAGTGTTTGTATGGCACCTTCATGGTATTTAGGATTCCACATTTTCTTTTTCTCGGGTCTACATTCACTTTAGGGATTAATGATGTTTTTTCAAGAATCGACTGATAAATCCTTCAAGATGTTCTCATTCTTAGTGAATAACATTTCTCTTCTATTAGATATATTCTCTACTATATAAGAGATTATTATGTGATATACACAATGAGATAGTATTATTCACTACAAAGTCATTCGATGATTAGGACATGCTATTCTTGAGACTTCAATATTCATTTAGAAATATATTATACCTTAGACTTCTTAATACTTAATATAAGATTTAACTTTTATATGTTGCGATTTCTATCCTTCATAAAGGATTTTCAGAATCCAGTGCATATTTCATAAGCGGACATTCTCTCTGCCCAAAAAGGTTGTTGCCGCATGGCGTTCTCGTCTTACCGGCTTTTTTGCCAACACAGGCGCGCCGAGGCCATTGACAAAAGTCGGGCCGCCAGCTACGCGGGTCTCAGTGGGCTGGAATGGAACGCGCGAATCAAATCGAATGGATCGAGCAGGCCTCTCAAGCCCAGGCCTCAAGCCGGGCCCTGGTTTTTGTCAGATCGGCCACGATATACGAAACGGGCCAGGCCCAACGAGACGACAGAATGCCGACTTGCCGTCCGGCCCTGCTGGTCCGGGGAGAGAGAGAAGTTATTGCTGGCCACTGGCCAGGCCTTACTGTACAGCAGCCTCCAACAATGTTTGACTGGCTATGTATGGGATCACACGTATACGCGTTTATTCGGAAATCATACGGAGTACGTGACAGCGCTGTAGCAGCATTCTGCTAAAAAAAAGCACTGTAATAGCATTTTACGCGCTGGGCCGCTGGCGTCATCGTCATGACGTGCTTAAGTTTTTTTTTTGATGAAAAGCAAATTTTATTAGCTGCATGATGCTGCAATGATGGTGAAGTGTTCACCAATTACAGAGTTCAGTCGTTCCCTAGTAAGACAACCATATACATGGGATTGATTACAGCAGGTAAAGTTCCTCACATTAGACTGTGAGTAGCTAATACATGAGCTTTGGTATTGAGATTTCTTGGGACCTTGAAAATTTTGATATTCCTGTTGGTGGTGTGATTGATGAAGCTTTGCGTGAAGTGTTTGATCTCCCACCGAGGAGGATTGTCATAATCGTTGCCGTTGAAATATTGCGCAAGCTGTTGATTATCCGATAGGAAAGTAAGCACGCTGAAGTCCAGTGCAGAGGTCTCCCTATTCGCTTAAGCTTATATATAATTATTTTTCAGTTATGGAACAGTGTTTTCCTCTCACAATATTTCAGCATAAGCATCAGCATAAGCCAAATTTCAGCATCGGCGAATAGGCTATCTCTGCTGCTAGCGCTAAAGCTGCCGCTTCAGCCATAAGAACTGAAGTGGAAGTATTGAGCACCGCTTTGATGTAAATGGTGGCTGTTGTTTGGGGCTGGTTGTTGACGATGAACACACCCAAACCCGCCTTCCTTGGTAACTGCAATGCTGAGTCTGGAGCCGTGGATGCATCCGTGTAGCATCTTGTTCCCGGTAGGAGGGTTATTTTTTCCTTCTCGAATACGCAAGAGCGTTACGTATCATTGCATTAAGGAGAAATAGAAGTCATTTACAAGGGATCAGCCTGAGGCCGGGTTCAGAAACGAAAAAGTACATTGAAGAACTCGGTGGGTAAGAGGCTACCCCCCCCAACACCCCCCACGCTGAACTCCTCAAATCCTTGGCGCCCGCTTGAGCCCACTGATCGGCCTCTCCCTTGATGATAAGCAGAAGGTCCGGCACCGTGGTCGTGGCCTCCCGGAAACACCGTACATTCCTCTCTTTCCATATATGCCAGGAGGTTAGCGCGAATAGCGAATCGACACCCTTCCTCTGATTTTCCTGCAAGCCCCCCCCTTAAGCGTTTCCACCAGCCGAGGACCGACTGAGCCATGGGTGGGAGCGGGCGGCCTAGGGCTTGGCATATGTGGAACCATACCTCTCTTGCATATGGGCAGAAACAAAGGATGTGATCAGTCGTCTCCGGTGCCAGATCGCTGAGGTAGCATTCTTCCCTGGCTTCGAGGCCATGCCTTGCTCGCCTGTCATTCGTCCAGTGTCGCTTCCGGAACGAGAGCCAGAGGATGATCTTCACTTTCAGCGGCGCCCAAGTCTTCCAGATCAGCGAGTGACCACGGAAAGGGATAGAACCTGTGTGGAGCATTTTGTAGGCGGATTTGGCGCTATACTTCCCGTCAGGCGTCCATCGCCAAACTGTCCTGTCCTGTTACTCACGTAGGTTGACATCCGCCGTGGCTTCCCAAAGGTCCAAGAACTCCGCGATCGCTGCCGTGGTCATGCATGCTGCCCGTGATGGCTCGCGTCCACTGCCTGTTGGTAAGCCCCGGTAGGAGGGCTGGTAGTAGCACCCTGTAAAGAGGCGGTCCTGGTATGGACTCGCCTGAATTGAGCCTGGTAGTTGTTCCTACTATTCCTGCAGAGGACAAATGGTTACCTGATTGTGGCGAGTGTTGTGCCTTAAGAGGTGCCTGTTCACCAGTTGGGTCGCCATAGAGGGAAGCAGTTTTAATATCAGCTGCTACCGCATTGTGTACCTGCCATACAGTCCAAGCTTTCCTATTGAAACGATGATCATTCCTGGCTTTCCAAATGTACCAAAGAGTGGTTAATATTTTCAGCATATGTTCATCCGATGTATTGTGATCAATGATCCTCGATAAGATTTCCTGTACGCCATCCTGTTCAAGGGGCAACATAGAGGTGCAAAGAGAGGGTTTTGCGGAGAACCAAACCGCCCTAGCAAATGTGCAATGGAAGAATAAATGGGCATCATTTTCCTGCATGTTGCATATTGAGCAAAACTTACTTATCTTTGTTGAGAGATTGCCAGCCCTCTCTCCTGTTGCTAGGGCCCTTGTAATTAATCTCCAGAAAAAGGTTTTGATGCATGGAGGAATCTGCTTGTGCGTGCATACCCTTCTGAGGATTGTCAATGCCTGTTGTGTTATGCTTCTAGCTCCTTGATCTGGAATATGTACCTGCACTTCAGAACTAAGAAATTTATACGCTTCTTTAGTGGTACACATACCTTTTTTTGCCGGTTTCCATCTAACCGTGTCATTCCCATCGGATGGAACAGTTGGGATATGAACTATGGCAGAGGTGGCTTGTCTATCAAAAATCATAGAAATAAGATCAGTGTTCCAGGTCCGGGATTGTGGAAGCCAAAGCTCTGACACAGTCTGGGGAAGATTAGGTATTGTGACAGGCATGCGCATGTGACTGTGTATAGAATTCCGGACAGAGCACCAAGGACTGGACTTGTTCAGTTCAGCTAGCTTGGATGCTGGTGCAAGTGCAGAAAGGATGCGTTGGTTGAAATAAAGGAGCAGGCGTAGCTGGATGCATGGGTTCCAATCCAGTGCAAGCTGTTACCAATTTCAGAGAGCCAAAGGGCCTGTTTAGTTCCTAAATTTTTTTTCGTAGTATCCATCACATCGAATCTTGTGGCACATGTATGGAGTATTAAATATAGACGAAAAAAAACTAATTACACAGTTAGGTGAGAAATCGCGAGACGAAACTTTCGAACCTAATTAGTCCATAATTAAACATTAATTATCAAATACAAACGAAAGTGCTACAGTAGCCAAAACCCAAAATTTTTTTGCATCTAAACGCGCGCGTTTAGGACAGCACCTGCTGATCTGCATACCTAGGATTAGGACAGGAGCTTCACCCCCACACGCCATGGTACCAAGTACTACAGTGCTAGCTAGTACTAGTAGGCGCTCCAACCTTTCTCGTTGAGCGTCATGTCACCATAACTAACTCTACTCAGATAACAGCCGGCCGGCCCATGAATATGGCGCCGTAAACTTAGGTGCATTTTAGATCCCACCAAAAATCTAAAATTTTTCAAGATTTTCCATCACATTAAATCTTACGGCACATGTATGGAGCATTAAATGTAGGTAAAAAGAATAACTAATTGCATAGTTTGTCCGTAATTAGCGAGACGAATCTTTTAAGCCTAAATAGTCTATAATTGAATAATTTTTATCAAATACAAACGAAAGTGCTACGATAGCCAAAAGCCAAAAATTTTCGCATCTAAACGGGGCCTTAGAACGCTGTTGGAAGAAAGTTCAGGCTTCACTAGAGCAGAGTACGGAGTACTCCGTAGCTAGGTTTAGCAGGGCATGCATGTAGTTTGGGAGTTTGGAGTTCACTTCCTCTGTCCTCAACCCAAAATAAGTCTAATTCTAACGTTTAAAATTCGTCCTACAATATTCTAATTCTAGCCCTTGGCCCAACTATAACTAGTAGGTTTGCTACTTTTTTCAGTTTTCAAAGTGGAATCATTATACGTGATGACACTTTTTTAATAGCGTCTCCAACAGAATAAGCTAGCACTAGTTCTAAGCTATCAAACGTGCAGGTCAGAGACAACAACATTTATATCGTATTGTGTGACAGAGAGAGGAGCATCCTAAAACGTGCGAGACTATCTCTTAACTCCACGCTAGCCTCTTGTCTTTTACATTATTCAGTGGATAAAAAAATGATCCAGCAAGCTCTAAGCCAGACCATTAGGGACGCTCCAAGGGCACATGCACTATTTCTCCTTAAAAATTAATTGCTTCAAAAGAAATATTCGACTTACACTTCCTGCATTTTGCGGCGGATGGAGTGCGTATCTTCAGAAGGCAGCGGTTATCCGAGCTTGTTGTTGAACTAGAAATACATGCAAGTATGGGTAACCTGAGTTGCCTTGCTTGTCTAGAGCCTGCTTGGAATAAAAAGAAAACGCAGGAATAAGATAGAGTGAATAGTGAAAAACTATAGGATTTGAAGACACATGAATGAATTTTTTGAGATGTTTGGAATGAAAAAAAAAAACTATACATTAACATGAGCAAGCATAGCATGCAAGAGAGAGAAAGGTTCATTGGATCCCTTGGATCGGAGTGGATGTTCTATCCCTTGGATCGGAGTGGATGTTCTATTTCCTATATTTTGTACTATGGGTATCAGGGTATCCTTTCCTTTGAAAGAAACTCAACTTTCCTTCATTTTGAACACTATAATGTGATTCTTTTCCTTTCTAATTTATTCCTTTAAAATTGCTTTGAGAATTCTTTGATCCAAACGGGACCCAGTGTCGACGAGTCTAACCAACCAAATCTGTCAAGCTGTCATATCGATCTCTTGCCTTGCACAGTTGCTCTGACAGTGAGACAGTGGCACACACAAAAAGGAGTCACAGGCTCGCAGACCAGCCAGTAGCCCCTGTATTTTTACTAGGTTTACGGTTTACCAGGCTCGAGAGTTTGGGAGCCTGAGAAGATCTCGTGAACAGATGAAAAACTCGTGGCAGTATATATATACACTGTACATATATATGAAGCCGATGAAGAGGCTTTTGGTGCAGTGGCCGTCCGGCTGAGTAACGTTTTCCACCGCAACGTCGCCACTGTCCACAAACCATTTCTGAACCAGTTATTAAGCATGTACGTATATATATTTGAGAGCGCAAGGATCATCTGTAGGATCGGAGTTTTTACTGAACCAGAAGTACGGGGCTAAGCAAGCCAACCGTACCCCTGCTAAAACGGCCGGCATTTACATTCCCTGGCGCCCAAATTTATATGCCTGCCGCTGTCGTCTCAGTGTTAATGCCCTTGTGTAGCTCACATTTCTGAACAACAAGCAAGGACGGCGATTCAATTCAATGGCGCCACCACGCTAGCCGCTAGCTTAACCCACAACCAGATCTCCCTCTCCGTCTCTCTCTCTCGTTCGCTCGCACTGGCATATAGACGCACAGACACTGCACAAGTACACACACTCGCCAGGCAAAGCCATACATCTCACACACTACTTGAGGAGAGGACCGGCCGTTGTTGTCTTGGCATCTCAGCAGCAGCATCAAGCCGTCATGAGGAGTGTAAGTTCTCTGCTCATACATTGGGCCATAAACAACTTGTTACTTTCAGACAGACAGTCGTTCCCCTTCTCGCTCTTCGAATAGTGGTCAGCTGCTATTTGAATTCCACGTACGAGCTGTTCGGCTGCTGTTCCTAGCTCATGGAAGCAAACATGAACAGGGAGAAGAAGCTGTTTAGGCTATGAGCCTATGACGCAAGGCTTTTCTGGTTCCTTGTCGATTTGCAGGCAGCATGCAGCAGTGAGCTTCCGGCAACATTTGTTATTTCCAGTCTCTTTCCAAGCATGCTGCGAAAAAAAAAAATCACTTCTTCTTCTTCAGTCTCCCTTAGTTTGCTCCTTGCGATATATACTGAATGATTACCTATATATCTACTCCTATTAGTTCCAACGAGCTTTTCCTCGGTTGCATGCCTTGCAGGCAGCGATGAGCTTCCAGGACCACGGGCTCGGCTTCCACCAGGTGATCACCGACGGCGGCTGCGGCGGCGGCGCCGGCCCGGCCACGGCCGCGCCGCCGTGGTGGGCCGCCGCTCACCAGGGGTGCGCTGCGGCTAGGTTTCCGCGATCACCTTGTCCTCAGGTAATAAAGTATACTGAAAAAGCTCTCGTCTTTCTCATCCGTCGCGACTGCTGCTGCTGCCGCCGTCGAGACCGTCGTGGCGTCGTCGTCGATCGACGGACCGATCCACGGCCGGCCGGTGGTCGATAAGCTAGCTGGCAGCCGCGTCTGTCGGCCGAGTACGGACGACGGACGACGCTGCCGACGACCGTCCTTGTTGCCTGCCGGTGCATGTAATGTACCTGGCGCGCGACCGCTCTGAATAATGCCGGCCGCCGGCCGTACGTTCCGGGTTGATGGCTGCACCATTATTTGGTTGCCAGTGTGGTCCTGGTCCTGGTCCTAGGAAACTTGAATATGTATGTATACATATACTGTGTGTACGTATATATGTGGCGCGCTGGGTTCTTTCCTTAATTGATGTCAGGGATGTGGTAAGGTTGGTGCCTGTGGTCGGGCCTCCATATGCATGCATGTCCCGGTTTCACAGGGCAGGGCGGCAGGCAGGCTCCAGCTACTAATTTCGCATTGATGGGCAAATCTCAATCTAAGATAGAAGTTGTTTACAGTACAGGGCTCGACCTCCGTCCATCCTAAGTTTGGAGTAACAATGATTTTCTTTTTTTCTTTTTGAAACAAATGGAGTAAACCTCTACTTTTAGAGCTTGTTGGGATCCATTAGCACTAAAAATTAGAAGCTCAAATTAGTACTTTGCATCTAAACAAACCTGCTAATAAATCTACTAACTATTAGCTGATGAATGCTGCTAACTGCTCCCTCCGTCCTAAAAAACGTGATGTTCTATGTTTTTTCAGACAGATTAGTGGAGAAAAAAATGCCCTTAATACCCCTAATTTGTTGGACTTGATTCCCTTAAAAAAGATGTCCCGTGCATTACTTGCCTAATTAACATACGCTGCATGGAAGCATGTAAACTTCCCGTGGGCCAAAAGCATGTCTAAAGCTCATAACATCATTTTTTAGGACAAATTTTAAATCACAAAACATCACCTTTTTAGGGACGGAGGGTAGTATTAGTTTTAGCAGCCGGTTTAGAGTTGCTAATAAGTGTTAATAGTTCATATACACTTTCAACTCACTATCCAACTATCTATTAACAGGTGAATTCAAACAGTCTCTTGCTAAACATTAGCCATATTTAAATTAGTAGCTATTAGCTAGCTAGCTATTTTTTAGTGCTAATAGATCTAAACAAGTCCTTAGGCTAATAACATATATAGAAGATGACTTGTCTCTATTCGAATTTAGGAGTAGGCAGAGCTCTGTCAAATAAGCCTTTGCACTACACACATAATTCTTTTCTTTAAAGAAAAACAAGAGGAAAAAAACAGATGGTCAAGGTATACTATGGGGTATTTGGGACTGCTTCGCTTCACGTTTTTTAGCCAAACGGTTTCACTCCACACACTTTGTTCAAGGAAAAAGAGTAGAGTTACGAGGAGCTGCTCCACAAACTCCAGTGCTCCACGGTAAAGTTTGTGGAGCAGCTCCAAACACCCCGAGATACAAAATGTTTAGTAGGGACCATCACCAGGTTCAAATCCCGATGGCTTTTAAAGAAGAAGAAGAAATGGTCCCGTGCATCCCTGCTCTCTCTAGTGCATATTGGCCAGCAGACACTCTACCTCAACCATCTTTTAAAAAAATAGTATGCTTCTTTTTTTTTTTGACATGAGGAACCTCCCCATTTCCATTGAAAGCAACGGAAATACATTGTTAGAGTTTACAGACCAAGACAGGAACAGAAGGATAACATGATCACGCCAGCCAAACACGACTCAGGTCGCCTACCATTCTGATGAACTGAAACAGACCACACCTAAAAGAACTGAAAAGACCAACTACGACTTGCAAAAGAACCATCCACAACTTCGATTCCCGGAACTTCCTCTGGATCACCCCGCAGGCATCAAAACACGAAGATGGCAGACTTTTCAGGCACCGCCATTCTGACCTCCTTCCTGATCGTCCTTCAACAGAAGTGGAGTCTCCTTCCTCGATTTCTTGGTCAGAAGCTTCCATGCAATCGCCAACATCGTATTTGCGCCATCCACCAGAGCCTCTCTATCATCCTACAGGAACAAACCTGCCCAGTAACACATGAGCGAGCAAGCCATACAAATGATTGTAATCGGATTGGAAACTTTTTTGACTTCAAAACAGATATTATTTCGAACTTTCCAAATACTCCAACATATAGCTGCAATTCCCAGGGTATGAAACTTTTTACCGGCCGGTAGCCATCGTTCACACTAGGTCTAGCATTGCTGCAAGGATCTGGGGATATTGTTAGCCCCAATAGAATGAGCAACTACAGCCCACACAGTTCTGGCCATAGTTCCTCCCCAGGGCCAAACAAATCAGAATAATACTCAGTGGCATGTTGTAGTAATTTTTCATCTCCCTCAATGATCAAACCATCCTTGTCCAAGGATATGATAGTATTTTTCCTTTTACGCCCATTAGCAATCTTATGAAAATATTTTGTATTATTGTCCCCCTTAAGTAACCATTCCTCATGACATCTCTTGTGCCAATAAGCTTCTTCTTGATCTAAGAGACTCAAGCTTTCTTTTACTAACCATGCTTTCCTGAAGCATTGTTCCTTATTAAGATCCCCTGACTTCTCAATCGATTCAAGTTTTACTAGCTCATCACTGATACTCTTCCTTTTTTTTCTTTAATTCCCCTTGTAAATTAAAACCCCAACCTTTGAAATACTGCTTCAACAGTTTCAGCTTTTGCTGGATTTTGTCTAATGCAGATTGAGCTCTACAAGGTTTAAGCCAGATTTTTTTGACAGCTTTAATGAAATCAGGGTGTGAGAATAGGTGAAACCAGGTTACCCTCTCAGGTCCTGGGTTGCGTGTTATATATGTGCTGAGGAAAAGCCCCTCAATGGTGGCATGTACACATATATGGTTACAACAAGAATACAAGGAAATCCCTACAATCAAGGATCACCTCCTATCTATAACAACCGAAGAGATTAGATCTAAGTACAAAGAACCTGGACGTACCAGGGAGATTAACCACATATTCTAACACTCCCCCTCAATCTTAGCCACTAGAAAGGTTAAGATTGACTCTAAACTGTCTCAGCTTTGCTGCGGTGATCGCCTTGGTGAAACCATCAGCAAGCTGATCTCCAGAGTTGATAAATCTTATATCCAACAACTTCTGTGCCACTCGTTCTCTAACAAAATGAAAATCAATTTCTATATGCTTTGTTCTTGCATGAAACACCGGATTGGCTGACAGGTATTTGGCTCCCAAATTATCACACCATAACCGTGCAGCTAGGGGATGATCAATCCTAAGCTCTGTGAGTAGTTTTTGTACCCACATCACTTCTGCAGTTGCATTTGCTAGTGCCTTGTACTCCGCTTCAGTGCTAGACCATGACACTGTAGCCTGCTTTCTAGCCGTCCACGAGACTAGATTATCACCAAGAAAGACAGCGAAACCTCCTGTCGACCTTCTATCGTCTACACACCCATCCCAGTCTGCATCTGAGAAGGCACTAACCATCATTGACTTTGATCTTCTAATTTTGAGACCATAATTCATAGTCCCACGGACATATCTTAAGATTCTCTTTACTGCACTCCAGTGAGCTGTAGTCGGTGAGTGAAGAAACTGACAGACTTTGTTAACAGAGAAGGATATGTCTGGGTGAGTTAGAGTTAAATATTGCAATGCTCCCACCAGACTTCTGTAGCGTGTCGCATCCTCAGTCTCAAGCTTTGTACCATCAGTAACACCGAGTTTCTCCGACATAGATAATGGAGTATCAACAGCCTTAGCTTTGTCCATCCCTGACCGAATGAGGATGTCTGCGGCATATCTACCTTGAGACAGGAGTAGCCCCTCCGGTACCTTATTTACCTCGATACCTAGGAAGTAATGCAAGTCTCCCAGGTCTTTCAGTGCAAACTCCCCTCGCAAATCTTTGAGTAATGCCTCAGTTGCATCCTGTGAGGAACTTGCAACTATAATGTCATCAACATAAACCAATACAAAAATACTATGGTTACCACGGTTGTAGTAGAACAACGATGTGTCAGCCTTTGATGGAACAAAACCAAGTGCTTCCAATCTCTTGCACAATTTTGCATACCATGCCCGTGGTGCTCGTTTTAATCCATAGAGTGCCTTATCTAACTTGCAGACATAGTTGGGATGTGTTTTGTTAGCATAGCCCGGTGGTTGATGCATATAAACTTCTTCTAGAATACCATGAAGGAATGCATTCTGTACATCAAGCTGTCGAAGTGACCAACCCCTGGAGACTGCAATAGACAAGATTAGCCGAATGGTTGCTGCCTTCACCACAGGACTGAAAGTGTCCTCATAATCAATGCCATAGCGTTGTTTAAAACCCTTTGCAACCAGTCATGCTTTGTACCTATCAACAGTTCCATCAGCTTTGTGTTTTACCTTGTAAACCCATTTGCAACCGATGACATTCTTGCCTTTGGGAAGAGGAACAAGATGCCATGTCTTGTTGCGCAGCAAGGCTTGATGTTCGTTTTCCATTGCTGCAGCCCAATTCCGATCTCCAAGAGCTTCATCGAGGGTAGCAGGTTCTTCTATTGGTGTACACGTATTCATGCACCAACGCACCGTGCCATCGGCACGTATTTTTGGCTTCTGAATCCCATGCTGCAGGCGAGTGATAGGCTGGTGCGGAGGAGTTGGTGCAGGAGATGGAGTAGATCCGGATTCCGCAGAAGATCCCAGCGAGGAAATCTCCACGGACTCCTGCGCCGGCGCTGTGCTTGTCTGCATCACAGGAACCTGCACCAGCGCTGTGCTTGTCTGCATCACAGGAGCCTGCACCGGCGCTGTGCTTGTCCTCCGCTCGCTGGGATCGTGGTGCGGCTCGGTGGATTCGATGCCGACAACCCGCGCTGCGCCAGAAGAGGAAGACGACACGCCCGACAGCTCCAGACTCTCAGATCCTGAGGCCGATCTACCGGAGGCAATCTGTCCCGTG